AAGCGGTGGAGCCAGGGTGGTGGTATATCATAAGATGGAGATGTGGGAAGGGACTTGGAGATCTTCGAGCTCAACTTTCATGGTCATACAGCTTGTTAATGGTAAAGCTGTGATTTGAACCTGGATCCTAGATCCCAGATCACAGAGCTGGGAGGGAGCTCAGAGGCTATTTAATCCAACCTCCTCATTTTACAGAGGAGGAAACTGAGGCCCAGGGAAGAGTAATCAAGTGACTTGCCCAAGGTCCTAGTGGCAGGTCTGGATTTTGAACTGCAGTGCTCTGCCTCTGACCCTAGGGCTTATTCCACAAGGATCATACAATATGGTGGGTATAAGGTGCAGTCATAGACTATTGTTTTCATAATCATCATTGCCACAGTGATGGAGGAAGATAGAGAATGACAGACGTGGGCTAAGGAAGAGCTCCCACGTTGCCACCATCTTCCTAAAGGACACGTGGCTGGTGGTGGGGAAAGAGGGAAATTATTTGTGGTTCTAGCATGGCAAGGAATTGCTTCTCAGCTTGAAACCAATTGGCCAGGCACAGACCTGGCTTCTCATGAGAATCATGGCTGTCCTCTCAGCCCCTGCGTAATGGGTGGGGCTCAGTGGGCTGCAGATGAAGCCAAGCCACTTGGTCCCCCACTTCTTCAGCTCTGCCTCTAGCCATTTGTCTGCACCCTGGGGAAGGTGGGGAGACTAATGAGTCATTATCCTGTCAATTAGTCAAATCCTTGTGTTTGCTGCAAATTGATGCCACCTGCCTTTGCTCTGGCAGCCGAAGACAGTATTCAGCACTGCCCCCTCCACCCGATTGCTCTTCCTGCTCCAGATCTGGAGAGTGGCTGTGGGGAGCCAGTGTTAGCTCAAGCCGATGCTGGACAGCGACCTGAAGGATAGGTACTTTCATTGAGCCAGAGCTACCCAGACCTCCAGCCCCATCACAGGAGCTTCATGCCAGTGGATCAATATAATTGGGGGAAGGAGGAAATGAAGACAAAATCCTCCTAGGTTCAAATCCTTCCTCTATCACTTACTTTTTGTGTATCCCCGGGAAAGTCACTTAGCTCTTGTTTCTGCTTCTGTAAAATGAGGAGTTTGGACTAAATGACCTCATTGTCCCTTCAAGCTCTAAATCTATGATTCCCTTTATTACTTGTGTGACCTTAGGCAAGTCACTTAAACTCCCTGTGCCTCAGTTTCCTCATCTGTAAAACGAGAGAGTTGAACTAGTTGACTCTAGAGCTATGGGTCTATCTTTCTCCCTAATACTTGCCTGTGAACACATATTTGTCAGGCACATGTACAAATACAGCGAGACTGATGGATACTTACCTGTGTATAAACACAAATGTTCATAGACAGATTAAAAACCCACAATCACACACAGATGGACCCTGAGGCAGACACAGAGTAGTCAGGGTTCTAACACTAGCTAGCTATGGGGACCTCAGCCCAGACACTTCCCTGATTTGAACTTCTTTGTAAAAGGAGGTATTTGGACGGAAGCTCTAAGCTCCCTTTTGGGTCTAACAATCTGTGAGTCTTTTACCCCACAAATGTGGACAGTCGGTCCTTCCAATGCCCGGCCCCTCGCCTGTCCACCATTTCTTTGAAGCTGTGGTAAGCAATGTCTAGAGGGAGAGATTCAGTCTTTCCCCTAAATCATCCCTTTAAAAACAGCCCCAGAGGGCTTGGAAACCTCCTCTTGTTCTGCTGTTGCTACTCAGTAATGAAAGAGCTGTTGTCAGTCCTGATAACCGCGGCATCAGCTTCATCAATATTTTATGGTTCTTCCAGAGTCTGGTTCCTTAGCAACTTCCGTATCCATGGGCCCTGGGAGGCCTGGCTGGCTGCTGCTGCTCCCTGTGCCCTTGGTTCTGACCCTGCCCATCATATTCCCCATCCCTGGGGGATGCAGCTAGGCGGAGGAGACGGATCTGCTCTACACACACACACGCTCCCTGCCCCCAAATGCCAGTTGAATATGCTGGTGGGAGGAAGGGGAAGGAGGTGGAGGGGGCCCACCCTGCCACAGAGCATGAGCAGAAATGGAGCATTTGGCCCCATACACAGGGAGAGGAGGGCAGGGCCCCGTCCAAGCACATTTCTGCCAGGCTCTTTCTTTCCCTAAGCTGTGGGAAGAGAATGGGCTGTGTAGGGCATATTACCAAATGTGAGATATCCATGGTACAGTGGAAAGCATGCTAAATTTGTTATCAGAGGACTGGGTTCAAATCCCACCTGCATAATCTGGGCAAATCGCTTTACCTTTGTGGGACTCAGTTTCCTAATCTGTAAAATGAGGGTTGGAATGAATGGCCTCCAGGTTCCCTCCCAGCTCTGAATGCATTTATTCTGATGCTCCAGACCAATAAGAGCTGTCTGAAAATGGACTGTGTTGATTCATAGACTCTGCATCACTGGAATTCTATAAACAGGTCCACGGCCTGGATGCCGGGTGAGGCAAAATGGACTAGTCAGGGATGACATCGAGAGCACTTTGGGTCAGATGTGAGTTGGATAATGTGGCCCCAAGAAACCTTCCAAGTGTGAGAGTCTGTGAAAACACCCCTCCCTACCTCTTTTTTTTAAAAAAATAAAAATTTTCAATTAACAAGCACTTATTTTCACCTTACACCCTCCTCATGGGAAAAAAAATGAAAAAAGAAAATAAAGCCCTTGTAATGAATATACATAAAAACAAATTCCCGCATTTTCCATGGCCAAAAACCTATGTGATATTCTGCATCTTGAGCCCATCACCTCTCAGGAGGTGAGTGACATATTTCATCACAGGTCCTATGGAATCATGGTGGATCATCGAATTGATTAGAATTCCTGAGGCTTTCTTAGTTTTTCGTTCTTATGATGTTGTTGTTATATACATTTTATCACATTAATATGCTACAATTTGTCCAGCTATTCTCCTTTCCCCAGTGAATGCGCATCCCCTCCTTCTGTCCCTCTAGGATAAGCCTAGGAAGCCCTTGGTCCTGAGAGGAAGGCAGAAAAAGTGCTGAGTGCCTCTGCCAGTCAGTCAGTCAGTCAACAAGTATTTATTAAGTGCTTACTTTTTGCCAGGCATTGTGCTAAACACTGGGGATACAAAGAAAGGCAAAAGAAGGTCCCTCTTCTTAAGGATATCATAGTCTAATGGGGAAACAGTATGAAAACAACTCTGTAGAAACAAGATCTGTACAGGATAAATTGGAGATAATCAGCAAAGGGAAGGCACTAGCATTAAGAGGAAAGGCTTCTTGTAGAAGGTGGGATTTTAGCTGGGACTTGAGAGAAGCCACAAAGTGGAGATGAGGAAGGAGAGAATTCCAAATAGTGAATTCTAGTATAGTCAGGGAAAGCGCATGGATGGGGGCAGCTGGGTGGCACAATGGATAGAACACTGAGCCTGGAGTCAGGAAGACCCGAATTCAAATCTGGCCCCAGACGCTTACTAGTTGTATGACCCTGGGAAAGTCACTTCACCCTGATTGCCTCCAAAAAGCAAATGTCTAGAGTCTAGAGATGGAATCTCTATTCCATCTAGAGAGGAAACATCTTGTGTGAGGAAGAGCAAGGAGGCCAGTGACACTGGTCAAAGAGTATATGATGGGGCAGGAGAGTATATTGCATAAGAAAACTAGAAAGATAAAAAGGGCCAGGTTATAAAGAGCTCTGCATACCAAACAAAGGGTTTTTACATTTGATCCTGTTAATGATAGGAAGCTACTGTGGTTTCTCAAATGGGAAGGTGAGTTAGTCAGACCCGTGCTGTGGGAAAATTAATTTGCCAATTGAGTAGATGATGGAATGGGGTGGAGGGAGACCAACTGCGGGCTGTTGCAGTAACCCAGGTGTGAGGTGAAGAGAGCCTGTACCAGCATGGCAGCAGTATTAAGGGAGAGAAGGGTGCCTATACAGGAGATGGTGTGAAGCTCAAATCAACAGGACTTGGCAGTAGATTGGATGGGGGGTGGGGTAAGGGAGAGTGAAGAGTCAAGGATGATGCTTAGCCCTCAAGCCTGGGTAACTGGACAGATGGTGGCAGCCTCAAGAGTAATAGGGAAGTCCAGAAGGGGAGAAAATATGGGAAGAAGGGGAGACAGTGAATTTAGTTTTGAACATGTTGAGTTTAAGATGTCTATAAGACATCCAGATAGAGATATCCAATAGGCAATTGAAGATAAATCTGTAGTTACAGAAGTTAGGGCTGAATAAGTAGATCTGAGAATCATTAGCATAGCGATGGGATGTTGATGAGATCACTAAGTGAAATATTATAGAGGGAGAAGAGAGGAAAGCCCAGGACAGAGCCCTGTAGGACATCCAAGATTAGAAGACGTGACCTGGATGAAAATCTAGCAAAGGGGACTGAGAAGGAACAGTCAAATAGGTAGGAGGAGAGCCAGGAGAAAATGGTATCCCAAAAACCTAGAGAGAAGAGAGTACCAAGGAGGAGAGTGACCAATAGTGTCAAAGGCTACTGAGAGGTCAAGAAGGATAAAAACTGAAAAAAAAACCATTGGATTTGGCAACTAAGAGATCATTGGTAACTTCGTAGAGCAATTTCACTTGAATGATGAGGTGGGAAGCCAGAGTATAGAGAGTTAGGAGAGTAAAAGGAAACTAAGTTGGGAGCATTGATTGTCAATGGCCTTTTCCAAGAATTTAGTCACAAAAAGAAGAGCTATAGGATGATAGCTAGCAGGGATGAGCACATTGAGTGAGGGTTCTTTGAAGACGGGGGAGACATGGATATATTTGAGGCAGTAGGGAGCAGCCAGTAGACAGGGAGCAACTGAAAATTAGGGAGAACGGAAATGATTGAAGGGTCAATCTGGTGAAGAGGGCAGGGTGGGATAGGATCACTTGGGCATGAAGAGATGGCAAGGAGGAGGGCTGCCTCTTTGTATGAAATGGGTTAAAGAAGACATCTGAGTGATGTGAGATGGGGAGGAGAGGAGGAGTTTTTGGTCATGTCTCCCTGTTCCTCAGGTGTGGTAGAGACCTGCCTACTGCATCAGCTGAGGCGTCGGGCTGCAGGCTTCCTGCGCAGTGACAAGATGGCTGCTCTCTTCACCAAGGTAGGGAAGACCTGTGTGGTAGCTGGAGAGGTCTGCCGAAAGGTCCAGGAGCTGCAGCAGCAGGTGGAGAGCAGGTGAGTTCCAGCCAATCCACATGCCCCTCCCTTCAGCTCTCCCTCTCACCTACCCTCTAGGAAGGCAGCTGGACCCACCTGAGAGCTGCCATTGCCTGGGTGGTTGTAATGAAGCTGTCCTTATCCTTTTCACTGGGACTGCCCAGGAGAGAGATGCAGCATGGTCCAGTGAAAAGGACATGAGATTTGGAGCCTGGATTCATGTCCTAGCTCTGCCACTTATACCTGGGTGAACATGGCCAAGTCACTTGGAAGTTGGATTCATTGACTTCTAAGGTCCCTAGCAGCTCTAAATCTAAGATCCCATCAGCTTCCAATGCCTTACCAACCTTGTCCACTGCAAAGTTCACTCTCTTGGTCACGTCCTCTCCACACAGCTTAGACAATGGGATGAGTCCGAGGCCACTGTTCCCAAGAAAGCGTCCTCCCCGGCTTGCTCTTGTCCCTGAGTGCACCCATTTCCCTCCATTCAGGAAGTCAGCAGGAGGCAACCAGGAGACCCTTCGGAGACAGGGCTCAACTGGAGGGAAGCCCCCAACTCTCAGCCCCCAGGCCCTGAGGCACATTTGGGTGCGCACCGCCCTCATTGAGAAGGTGCTCGACAGAGTTGTGCAGTATATAGTGGAGAACTGCAGGTGAGTGCTGCCCCCCCCCCCCCGTGCTACTCCCTCCCTCTTTGTTCCTGTGATCTGAAGCTTCCATCCAGAAAACCTTCTATGATTAAACACATTTATGCTCTAATCCGCTGTCATCCTCCTCCTCCTCTTCCACCTTCCCCTCCTCCTCTTCTTCTCCCCATGCACTGGTAACCATGGATGATGGGGCTGGGTCCATTTAGAGCTGGTCCTCCTAAGCAGTCATTACAGTGTTTTGGTCCCCTTCAGATTCAACAATCCTGACAACCAGAGTTGTTGACCACATGGCAACCTAAGAGGAGCTAGGGTTTGTAGGAGTATTCTGTGTACTGTCTACTTTCTATCTCACTTTTTTGTGTGCTTTTTATAACCGTTCTCTTAAAGGAAGCTAGGTGGAGCAATGGTTAGAATATTGGCCATGGAGTCAAAAAACCCTGTGGTTAAACTTTGCCTCAGATACTTACTGGCTATGTGACTTGAGCAAGTCACTGTCCTTTCAGAGCCTCATTTTCTCCTCTGTAAAATGAAGACAGTAATACCACATCCTTCACAAAGTTGTTGTGAGGATCAAAAGAGATATCACCTTAGAGTGTAATACAAAAGCTATTTGTTGTTTTGATCGTGATCACGAGTGAGAGCCAGCTTTTTAGCATGAATAGACAACCCGTAGCCTTAGAGTCAGGAAGACCTGACTTCAAGTCCTGCCTCCGACACCTTCATTTTTGATTTTATGGCCCCAGCGTTTTTGTTGTTCAGTAGTTTCAGTCGTGTCTGACTCTTCATGACTCTGTTTGGGGTTTTCCTGGCAAAGATACTGAAGTGGTTTGCCATTTCCTTCTCCAGCTCATTTGACAGATGAGGAAACTGAGGCAAACAGGATTAAGTGACTTGCTCAGGGTCTCACACAGCTAGTGTCTGGAGCCAAATCTGAACTCAGGGAGATGAATCTTTCTGACTCCAGACCTGGTGCTCTGTGCACTGTGGCATCGCCTAGCTGCCCACAGCATAGCCTCTTAATGGTCCTGCCTCTGACACCTACTGGTTGCATGGTGCTGGGTCAAGTGCCCCAAGCAGTTCTCTAGTACTGCTCTGCACTGGTGTGAAGGAAGCTTCCTTCTCAGGAATTTACGGTTAAAAGAAACAAAAAGCTTCTTTTGAGCGTTGCTACAATCTTGTAAGATATGTGCTCTGGGTATTATGATCCCCATTTTACAGATGCAGAAACTGAGACTCAGGGAAATGATATTACTTGCCTGCTAGAATGTAAGCTCTTTGAGGGCAGGACATGTCTCATTTTTCATTTTGTGTCCCTAGCACAGTGCCTGGCGTATACATAGTAGGCACTTTAAAATGCTTGTTAATCAGTTGAGGGCAAAGACTCTTCATGTTTGACTCTGTAACCCCAGTGTATCCTCTTAATAGATGCTCACTGATTGATGGATGGTTCCCCGTCATACAGCTGGGATGTGTCAGAGGTGACTTCTGCTCTCCTAGTCCCTCCCACTGTCCACTACTCTATGCTGTCCCCCTCTTCCCTGCTTTCCCATCTCCCTCCTCAATACATTTGCCTGCTTGGAGTAAGAGTAAGCGGGTGAGCCAGGCAGAGGTCCTGTGCTCACTCCTCCCCTCTCTTCTGAACAGCAAATACTATGAGAAGGAAGCACTTCTGGCAGACCCTGTGTTTGGCCCTATCCTTGCCTCTCTCTTAGGTGAGTGGGGAGTGGGGCAGGGTTGTGGTGCCAGGGCCTCCCCTGTGACAGGGAGGGATTTGGTTCCCCTGCCCTGTTCCAAGATTATCTTCAGGATCCCGGCTGTCCCTGTCCCCATAGTGGGTCCCTGTGCTCTGGAGTATACCAAGCTGAAGACAGCGGACCACTACTGGACAGACCCTTCTGCTGATGAGCTGGTTCAGAGGCACCGCATCCGTGGCCCCCATGGCCGCCAGGACTCACCCTCCAAGCGTCCAGCCCTGGGAGTAGGTTTCCTTTTTGTCCACACCCCAAGTCACTCTCCCCCTCCTCCCCCCGGCCAAAGGCCTTCAGAGAGAAGGGATCTGTATTTACAGTAGGGTTCTTCCCACAAGGGCACTGACCCTCCGCCCACTCTAGTGCTTTGTTGGAGCCCCAAGTTGGGGGGTTGTCTCTGAGCCAGGAACGTAGATCGTCCGATAGCAGTGGCAGCTTCTGGGAGTGGGGAGCCTTGGAGGAGAGAAGGGTCCAGTGTGGCAGCAAAGGAGAAGCAGAAGGGGAAGCCTCCAGTGATGCCGCCTTCCCTCCCAGGTTGCTCAGGCCAGGGGGCTTCAGGGATGAGAGCGTTGGGGTCTAGCAAAGCTTCTCTCTGCAGATCCGGAAGCGACACTCCAGTGGGAGTGCATCAGAAGACCGGTTCGCAGCCTCAGCTCGTGAATATGTGGAGTCCCTTCATCAGAATTCCCGAACACACCTACTCTATGGCAAGAACAATGTGCTGGTACAGCCGGTGAGAGAGCCCAGACCCTGGCTGCCCACATCAGGGAAGTGGGGGGGGGGGCCCTTGGAAAGGTCCCAAGGGATTGATGTCTCGTTGAGCAAGAAGGGATGTGCCAGGGACCTGAAAAGCCTTGGCCAGGACCTTGAACGGCCTCGTGTCCAGAGTGTCATTGCTGCTGCTGGGGTTGGCAGGGGATGAGCCCCCTTTCCTTACTGTTGGGCTCCTCAGCCAAAGCCCAGAGCCCAGACAGACCTGGGTGGGGGTAGGGCTCTGGAGGCCACCCTGGCTATGAGCCCATGTACCTTTCTTTACTCCCAGATCTTGTTCCCCAGGGACCCTACAATCAAGAATCATATTTTCTTTTTAATTTTGTGAAATGTTATTTTTATTGATGCCTTTTGCTTTTACATCACTTTCATTTCCAAATATATTCCCCTCTTGCCCAATGAGCCATCCCTTATAATAAAAATTTTAAGAGACGAGCAATTTAACCAAAAAAAAAAAAAAAGGACATTTGACCGTATCTGATACTGTATGCAATATTTCCCACCAATAGTCCTCCGCGTCTCCCATCTGTACAATGAAGGGATTAAGATAGCATATGGTAGGAAGAGTTTAACTCTTCTCTGGGGCTGAGTTGTCATTAAAATTTCCCAAAGGCATCCCTTCCTAGGAGACTCAAGCAATGATGAGCGGGAAGAAGGAAGAGACATCCCAGGTCTGGAACTGGAAGGGCCTTAGAGAATGTCTGGCCCATCCTCTCACTTTATAGAGGAGGAGACTGAGGACCAGAGAGGTTAAGTCCTTGCCCAAGGTCATTGTATAGGCAGTAAGTGGTAGAGTCAGGATTTGAACTTGGGTCCTTTGGCTCCAAAAATTGACACTTTTCCATTACAACTCTGGCCCCCACTGGGTTTGTCTCCCAGCCTCTGGCAAGTAGGGAGCCCAAGAAAGCCATCTGCTCTAACTAATTAAGAGCCAGGCTACCCAGGGTAGGAGTGGGTGCCAGCTGGCAGGTTGATGTTGGATGGCATGAGAAGGCAGGCAGGCAGGCAGGAGAGAGAGCTGGGGTTTCCTCCAAGCTGCCCGCAGTGTAGATCTTGGATTCTTCACCTTCTTCTCTCTCCAGCCCAAGATATTGTGATTCATCCTGCCCAGTGGGTCCCTTGGCTGGGTTGGCATCTACTTGCCAGTGTGAACATGAGGGAGAGTGGGGAGGAATATGGGTTGAGTGGGTGATACCATCACCCAAAGTGATGCTAGGTTGGTCATAGCTGAGGGCTTGGGAAGGGTCCCACATCCTGGCAGCCCTTCCATGATGGAAGAAAAGACACCAGACCCACTCAGTCCAAGTCTCTCTCTGCCCCAGAGTACTACCAATCTTTGAGACTTACTGCCCATGGCCTGGAGAAGAGGGCTCACTGATTTTGAGTCTGCCCCCCACACCCAAATGTTGCTCTCCAAAATAAAAAAATAGTGATGCATTTTCAAGTCAAAAGAACTGAGTTCAAATCCCAGCTCCGGTACTTGCCATGTAACTATGGGCAAATTATATCTCTGAGCCTCAGTTTTGTAGTGTCATGAGTCATAGGATCATGGATGAAAGGGACCTGAGAGGTCATCTAGTCTAATGACCTCATTTTACAGATGAGGAATGGCACGACTTGCCCTACTCAAGAGAAACTGCTTGGCATAATAGCTTTGTAGTCAGAAAGACCTGGATTCCATTCCCCACCTCAAGAACACGCTCACTGTGTGACTCTGGATAGTCAACCTCTTGAGTCTCAGTTTCCTCATCTGTAAAATAGGAATAATAAAATAAAATAGGGATAATAGTAGCAACCACCTTACAGGGTGGTAGAGAAGATCAAATATGCATGTAAAAGACAGCTGTTCTTATCATTACCTGCTTTACTGGGCTATTCTGAGGAAAGCACTTTGTAGACTGTAATGTCTTATGTAAATGTGCCTTCTCTTGGCCCTTATACTGTTTTTTCCTTGTGTTTTTTTTTTAAACTTTTCTTTCTCCCAGGTAGGTGATCTTTTAAAATTTTGTGTTGTCTTTTTATATATATCACTTTCAATTGCAAATCTCTCTCTCTCCTCCCCTATGAACCATCTCTTGCCACAGAGAATTTTTAAAAAGAAAGGGGAAAAAAGTGGTTTAGCAAAACCAACATATCAACTAAGTCTGACAGTATATGCAATATTCTATATCCATAATCCCTCACCTCTTCAAAGAAGAGAAAGGAGTGTTTTTCTCAACCTTTTCCAGGGCTAAGTTTCTTGGTCATAATTATCCAGCATTCAATTATATTTTATAGTCATCGTGTCTGTTCTATTTATTCCGTGTACTTCACTCTGGATCAGTTAATAGAAGTCTTCCCTTGGTTCTCTGAATTCTTCATGGTCATCTTTTTATGGCTCAATAGTATTCTGTTAGAGCAGTAAGTTGTAGAGGAAAGAGACAGAGGACCAGGGTTTAAATTCCAGCACTAATGCTACTTTTTCTTTTTTACCTTGAACAATTCACTTAACCTGTCTGGGCCTCAGTTTCCTCAACTGTAAAATGGTGGGGTTTGACTTGGTAGCCTCAAAGTTTCCTTCCAGTCTCTCAATCTATGGTCCTCGACACCACAATATGTTGAGCATTTTCCCAGTCAATGGGCATCTACTTTTGTTTCCAGTTCTTTGTTACCACAAAATTGTTGCTATGAATATTTGGGTCCATAAGGGACCTCTCTTTCTATCTTTGATCTCTTCAGGGCACATGCCTCATGGTGAGACCTCGAGGTTAAATATTTTAGTATGAATATCTTAGTCATTTTTTTAGCATCACTTTTTCTCTTTTTTTTGTATGCTCCTAAAAATAAGAGCTCACACACACATAGCAGATGACCTTGTCTACTATTTAACTGAGAAAATCAAGGCCATCTGATGTGAACTCTCTCAATTCTCCTCCTCTTAGCCTCTCTGTGTCCTTACACAACCTCTCCTCCCTCCTGTCTCAGATAATAATAGCTAACATTTATATAACGTTTACTACATGCTAGGCACTGTATTAAGTACTTTACAATTGTTATCTCATTTGATTTTCACAATCCTGGGAGGTAGGAGCTATTATTATCTCCCTTTTTGCAGGTGAAGAAACTGAGGCAAACAGAAGTTAAGCCACTTGCCCAGGGTCACACAGCTAGTGTCTGAAGTTGGATTTGAACTCAGATCTTCCTAACTCCAGACCCAGTGCTCTCTACCCACTATACCACCTAGTTGCCTATGATGAGATAACCCTTATTCTTGCCAAGCTTTCCTTTCTACCTGTACCCGTGCTATTTTCTTTTCAGTGGAAAGGATGCTAGATCAGTCAGTCAATCAATAAGCATTTATTAAGCACCTACTATGTGCCAATTACACAGTGCTGTGGTTATCAAAAAAAGAAGCAAAAAACAGTTCCTTCCCTTGAGGAGTTCACAATCTAATGGGAGAGACAACAAGCAAACAATTATGTACAAGAATTATTTATATATATATATCATATATAATATTATAATATATAATAATTAAGAGAGGAAAGACACTAGAATTAAGAGAGGTTGGGAAAGGCTCCCTGTAGAAGATGGGAATTTAGTTGGGACCTAAAGGAAGCCAGGGCAGCCAATAGGTGGCAGTGAAGAGGAAGAACATTCCAGGCATGGGAGAAGCCAGAGCCTGGGACTGAGAGATGGAATGTCTTGTTTGTAGAACATCTAGGTGACTGGGTCAAAAAGAATGTGGAGAGGAGTAAGATGTAAAAAGACTGGAAAGGTAGGAGATGACTAGGTTTTGAAGGGCTTTGAGTGCCAGAGACTTCTGTATTTGATCCTGGATGCATAGGAAGCCAATGAAATTTATTGTGTAGCCGGGTGGCATGGTCAGACTTTAGGAAAATGGCTTTGCTGGCTGAATAAAACATTGATTGGAGTGGGGAGAGACTTGAGGCAGGTGGACCCACCAGCAGCTTATTGTAGTAATCCAGGTTTGAGGTGATATGGGTCTGCACTAGAGGGGTGGCAGTGTCAGAGGAGAGAAGGGATGTTCAAGAGATGTTGCCAAGATAAAATTAATAGACCTTAAAAACAGATTGGATGGGGCAGTGAGAGATTGTGAGTACTTGAGGGTCACTTCTAGGTTGAGAGCCTGAGGGAAGTTATAGGGAAGCTGCTGGTGGAAGGGAAGATTTAGGGGAAAAGATGACGAATTCAGTTTTGGGCATGTTGCGTTTAAGATATCTACTGGACATCCAGTTTGAGATGTCTGAAAGGCAGTTGACTGTGGAAGACTGGAGGTCAGCAGGGTGAGTAGATTTGAGAATCATCAGCATAAAGAAGGTAATTAAATCCATGGGAGCTAATGAATTCACCAAGTGAAACAGGATAGAGGGAGAAGAGGAAAAGACCCAAGACAGAACCCTGGGGAACACCTTCAGTTAAAGGGCATGAGCTGGATGGAAATCTAGCAAAGGAGACTGAAAAGGAGTGGTCTGATAGGTGGGAGAAGAAACAGGAGCGAGTGATGTCCTGGAAACCCAGAGAAAAGAGAGTATTAAGGAGAGGAGGGTGATCAACAGTGTCAAAGGCTACAGAGAGGTCAAGGAGATTGAGAAAATGCCTTGGATTTGACCACGTAGAGACCAGTGGTAACTTTGGAGAGAGACGGTTCAGTTAAATGATGAGATCAGAATTTGGATTGTAAGAGATTGGGAGAGGAGAGGAAGTGGAGACACCTATTGCCTTTCAAGGAGTTTATGTCCACAAAGGGCAAAAGAGAGATAGGATAATAGTGTGGATGGAAGGATCAAGTTGGGGGAGTTGAGGATAGGTGAGACATGGGCATGTTTGTCAGAAGTAGGGGGGCCAACAGTTGTAGAGACATTGAAGATAGGTGAGAGATTTGAAGAGTTTTTGGGTTTAAATCCAGGCTGTGCTACTTTATTACCTGTGAGACATTGGGCAACTCACTTGACTTGCACTCAGATTCCTTATTTATAAAATGAGGGTATTGGACTATACAACTTCTAAGGTTCCTCGGTGACCTCTGTGACCCTATCCCCTCCCATCTCCTCTGGGACCCTGCTCCATCAATCACTACATCTTGCTTTCATTCTCCACCGGCTCCTCTCTCTCTCTGACTCAAGACCCAACCATTCCCTTTGCCCTGATTTCCCCTCCATCTCTACTCATTACCCCCGCTTCCTTTCCACCCATTTAGTCCTCAGCCCCTTTCAATGTCTTCTGTCCTTAACTCTTGACAAGAGAATCTCTTTAGTACAAAGCCATTAATGACTCAATGCCAAACTCAGTGCCCTTATTTCTGCCCTCATCCTCCTTGAAATTCCAGTAATCTTTGACACTGTAGACCATCCTTTCCCTTTTTGATACTCACGTCTTTCTCCTTTCTTGGGCTTTCTCCTCTCCATAGAAGGAAGACATGGAGGCTGTCCCTGGCTACCTGTCTTTACACCAATCTGCAGAGAGCTTGACCCTGAAGTGGACCCCCAACCAGCTCATGAATGGAACTCTGGGAGACTCAGAGTTAGAGAAGAGGTAGGGACTCCAGTCCAGCTACTGTTTGGAAGGAGATAGGGCCCAGGGGAAAGTGTTTTGTGCTCTCCAGGGTCCTGATCGCCAAAGGGTTTCCACAATACTGGGTGGCTGGGGCTGCTACCGATTTGGAGGCATTGGCAATAGCAACAGCACATGGCTGGTTGAAATCACCTCTTGGCCTTTGGAGCTAAGCAGGTATCAAGATGGAAGGACAGAGTGTGTAGGACCAGAGGAGGACCCTCAGAGACAATAACACTCAGCTTGTTTCCTTCTAGCGTGTACTGGGACTATGCGCTGATTGTGCCCTTCAGCCAAATTGTCTGCATCCACTGCCACCAGCAACGTAAGCCACGTCCCTCCCCCCCGCCCCTAGGCACAGGAGCAAAGAAAGGGAGACCAGCTTCGGAAATCCAACTGCTTTCCAAAACAGTCCTCAGATCCCTTCCCCGCTCCCTCCAAGGCCTCAGTTATTAGGTCAGGAGTAGTGGCAGCTGGGAGCTGGCAATTTCCAGGGCTAATACTTCAACTTACCTACGGACTTTTTTCAAACTTGGATCCCAGGCCCTGGGAACATGGCCCAACTAAGCTGACTAGCCAGTTATTCAGTTCAGAAGGCAGAATCCCTCCTTGGGGGTCTCCTAGGCCTTTGCCTACTTTCCTGTCCCTTCTTCCAGAGAATGGTGGAACACTGGTGCTGGTGAGCCAAGATGGTATCCAGAGGCCTCCTTTGCACTTCCCCCAGGGAGGACACCTCCTGTCTTTCCTGTCCTGCCTGGAGAATGGGCTCCTGCCCCGTGGACAGCTAGAGCCACCACTGTGGTCCCAGCAGGGAAAGGTATCTCATTGGAGCCTGGGTGGGTACAGAAGGGAGGCACATAAAGAGGGGCAAGGAGAAGGGGGAGTTGGGGGGGAGATCTCCCTTTTCACCCCTACCCAATTTCCTCCCTTCCTCCCTCCTTTGCTGAATTCAGGCCAGGGATGCTGTGGGAGAGGGATGGGTCCATCCTGGCAGACCAAAGAGGAGGTCCAGGGACCAGTTCAAGGGCAGGGGCCACTGACCACCCGCACTACTCTCCTGCCACAGGGGAAGGTCTTTCCCAAGCTGCGGAAGCGGAATAGCACCATGAGGTCTGTGGATCTGGAGGAAACAGTGGTGGATGAAAGGCGGGCCACTGACTACGTGTTCCGGATCATCTACCCGGGCCACAGGCATGAGCACAGTAAGTGCCCCCACTCCCACTCATGGTGGGGAGGAGGAGACAGGCCCAAGGCTTCTCGTGTTCTCTTCAGCAGAGCTGGCTAGGACAGGGGCAGGAGGTAGCCCTGAGGAATGTTCACTTAGGCTGACTCAAAGCTAGATGGATGAGTTCTATATAGAGCTTTCTGCCCCCAGTGATGCTTTGTGCCCATCTTCCTCTTCTACTTGGCCATCTCTGTTCTATCTTCTGTTCTTCAGGTTGCTTTTTTTTTTTTTTTTTTAGAACATGGGCACCACCTACAACCACACAGGCTCAGAGGTTCATAGGTTTAGAGATGAAAGAGATCTCATGGATCATTGAAGTCCCTCATTTTTATGGAGGAGGAAACTGAGGCTCAGAGATGGGTAGAGTGACTTCACTAAGGCTATACAGTTCATATGTAGCAGGACCAAAATTCTCACCCAGGTCCTACAGTCCAGATTCAAGATTCAAGCTGCCCTTCCCGTCTCCACGTGAGAAAACCAAACCCTACAACAGGGCTGAAAAGGGAGGCCGAGAATGTAGAATTTCTCCTTCATTCTAACTCCCAGTCTCCTTTAGACCCTGGCTGTGTGTGGTCGGTGCCCATCTTTGGTGATTCCAACCCTGTGCACGCCTCTGTGTGCAGGGTCAGAGCCAGGGCCTACCGTCCTCTCCCTAGCTCTGTGGTGGCTCAGTCGCCAGTGACAGCTTCTCTGATACAGTGGGCAGGTTGCCAGGTGAACTTGCTGGGCTGGGGGGATGAGAGTGGGAAGAAGGAAGTTGCCACAGGGATCCACGTCCGGGTCCACTGGCAGTCCTTGCACCTAGAGGATTATGGGGGTCTGCTCTGGGACCCTGGACAGAAAGAGGCCCCAGTGACTTGAATACTCAGAGTTGGTCCTGCTGCTCCTGATCTGAGCAGGATTGTTGTCTCATCTAGACCCGCCAGCCTTGTAGATAAGAACTTAGAATTTACCGTCCCAGATCGTTTATTCCTTCCAGCCCAGCCCATTCCCCTCCAGAATCCCTTAGCCTGTACTGTGCGAAGGGGAGAAGCAATGCAGCAAATCAGAATCACGGTAGCTCACAATTCTAGGTCTTTTAAGGTTTACAGAGCCTTCTCCATCTCCCCTCCCCCAATAGCTACCTTGTGAGGCAAGTGGTAGTAGTAATAAGAATTACAGTTAACTTTTACATAATGCTCTAAGGTTTGCAAAGCATTTTACAACTGGTATCTCAGTCGATCCTCACAATAACTCTGTGAAGTAGCTGCTATCATTATCCCTATTTTACAATTGAGGAAACTGAGGCTGGGAGAGGTTAAATGATCAGCCCAGGCTTATATAGCTAATGAGCATCTGAGGCGGGATCCGAACTCAGGTTTTCCTGATGCCAAGTCCAGCACTCTTTCCACAATAGAACAAATAGCATTGTCCCTATTTTACAGAAGAGGGAACTGAGGCTTAGAGAGGTTGCCCAGGGTCACCCAGCTAGTGAGTGTTGGCAGGATCTAAAGTCAGATTATCTGGCCCCAAAGTCAAACATGCTCTCTAAGATGTCGTGCTGCTCAACCCCTGCAGGCCAAGTTTTGGGAGCAGGGTAGCCCAGGGTGCAAGATACAAAGGTGAGATCCTCTTCAGAAAGTACATTTTGCTTGCAGGTCTGGAGTTTAAATGGGCAATAGATGTAGTGTATAAATTATCCAGGTGTCTTTGCTCCCTCTTCTCTGTCTTTTAGTCATGTCTCAGAGCTTGGGCCAGGAGCCCAAGCAGCTCCTCGTAGGCAGCCCTGACATAAGACCTGAATGGTTAGCTAAAGTGACTGGCAGGGATTGGAGCCATATTGTATTTGTCTGGCGATTTCAGTCCTCTGGGCGTTCTCTGCCCAGTGTAACCCCAACCACTCCAGAGTTGGTGGTATGATCAGTGTTCTATCTCCCAGCTCTCCTTCCAGCGTATAGCTACATGTCTAGACTGCCTGGAGCAGTGCTGGCCTGCCCCTATGCCATCTCCATCCCCAGTTTTACACCATACAGTCAAGATTTTGATTCTCTCTTGCATTGTTCCTGGATGGAGAGAGCCTCCCCATCAAAGCTGGGTTGAAACTCCTGTGCCCCGTCCCCGTGAAAAATAACTCAGTGAATGAACTCTCTCACATCTCCTCCTCCTCCCCCTCGGTGGGGGTGTGGGAGAACACCGTTCCCTGGAGCCCCTCCCTGCCAGGCCCTCACAAGCCTCTCTCACTATTCTCTTTGAGCAGTCACTATTAACTACCACCACTTAGCTGCCAGCCGCGCGGCCTCGGTGGACGATGATGAGGAAGAGGAGGATAGACTACACGCGATGCTGTCAATGATCTGCTCGCGGAACCTCACAGCTCCCAATCTGATGAAAGGTTTTTATCCCGCGTCCCTCCCTGACCCCCCTCCCATGTCCTATTTCTCCCTCTCCACCGGGTCCACTGGCCAGCACCTGCAGGGACTCACACAACAGTGTTGGCATTACTGGACTCCCTGAGAGTCAGGCAAAGAGAGGCCATGAGAGGGAGAGACAATAGGAAGGAAGGGTGGATGGGGCAGCAAGAAGAGAGAGGAGAGGAAGAAGGATGGAGGGCCGACAGCATTGAATGGGCAGCTCCTAGTCGCTCCCCTCATCGGCACTAGAGAAGGGACTGTCTGCCTGGACCTGGGAGGACAATGAACACAGGGGAAAAGATAATAAATTTAGAGCCAGAAGCCTCCTCAGAGTCCATCTGGTCTCAGAGAAGGAAAGTGGGGCCACGGGAAGGGAAAAGGCATGGCTACTTGGACCCCGGGGCAGGGGCAGAATTCATTCTCAAGTCTCAGAACTTCAAAGACAGCCCTCTGTCCATCACATTCTGGGAACCCCCTATAGATTTCCAGTCCATTTCTTTGTCTGGGGCCAAGATAATGGCGGCTTCAATTTAGTCCTTTCTTCCATTTCTCCTCATCCAACCCATTACTTCTCTGATCCTTTACCTGGTTAGTAATAGGGGGGTCACCTTGTCTGAGGGTCTCATTTGACAGAGGAAGAAACTGAGCCCCACAGAGGTGGACGTGATTTGCCCAAGGCCACATAGCTAAGATCATAGGATCATATATGTAAAACCAGGAGAGACAAGTATTATCGAGTCCCACTGCCTCATTTTACAGTAAGGAAACTGAGACCCTGGGAGAGTAAATGGCCTGCAGGATAATAGATTTCAGGCTAGAAGGGACCTTGGGAGTCATGTAGTTCAATGACTAGGTGATAACCGGGGTCCTAGAGTAGGTCCCTAACCATCGGGCAGGCAGTAAGGACCCCAGACATATCTGACAGTGGGAAAGATGGTGCAGTGGGAAGCAATGCACTGACTTAGCTTCTCTTTGTGGCCCTTTGTGTTCCTGCCTCCCTCTCCCCAACACACACACATACACACGTACACATGCACACATGCAAACACGTGCACATGCACACACCTTGAAACCACTGAGCTTCTGTCATTGTGGATTTCAGACTTTCACCAGAGACTTGGGAATACCTAGCTCATTCACTCTGAATTAACCCATTAATCCATAAGCATTTATTATGCGCCTCCTTTGTGAGGCAGCATGGCATAAGGGATAGGGATCTGGTCTTAAAGCCAAGAAGACCTGGGTTCAGTCCTGCCTGTGACATGTATTTTGCCGTGTGACCCTGGACTAGTCACTTAACCTCGAAGACTCAACTCTCTGAGACTATAAGACTCTGAGACTCTCTCCTCTGGCAGCAGAGGAGGCTATCTGCATTGGTAGAGGATGTATCTCCCTGGGAGAGCTCCACGCTAATGAAATCACAGATCAGGTTTAAAAAAAGTGTTGAACTGTGGTGGGTACTGGGGATAGAAAGACAAAAATGAAGCCATCCCTGCCCTCAGGAGCTTGTGTTCCATGGGGAGAAAACATACACATATGGAAAGAATATACATGTAATAAACAATATACAGTGTATATTAATGTAATATAATAAATACAATAATGTAACATACAATACATGTAATATTGTAATATACAATGTATATTGTATATAATTCAAGAAATACAATAACGTAACATACAATATATGTAATATACAATGTATATTGCATAGTGATATAATACAAGAAATACAATAATGTAATATACAATATATATAATCTGCAAAATGCATACAACGTAATTGAGGGACACTAGCAGCTGGGGGGTCAGGAGAGGGTTTGTGTTAAAAAGTGGCACTGGAGCCGAGTCTTGTAGGCAGTGAGGGAATCTAGAGTTCGGGGTGAAGAAGAAGGGATAAAGGAAGGAAGGATTTATTAGACACATGCTATGTGCCAGACACTGTGCTAAGCGCTTTACAAATACTATCTACAACAACCCCAGGAGGCAGGTGCTATTATTATCTTCATTTTACAGTCAAAGAAACTGAGGCAAAAAGAGGTTAAATGACTCAGCCAGGATCACGTAGCTAATAAGTGTTTGAAGCTAGATTTGAAGTCAGGCCTTCCCGACTTCAGGCCCGGGGCTGTATGCACTGTGCCACATGCGTGCCTCTAGCAAAGGTGGTGATGACAGCTAGGTATCATAGGATCATAGATTTAGAGTTGAAAGGGACCTTAGATAGAGACTGGCTAGCCCGTCCTCTTCATTTTACATTTAAGAAAACTGAGGCTCAGAGAGATCAAGGTATTTGCCCAGGGTCCTATAGGTAGTAAGCATCAGAGCTGGGATTAGAACCCAGGTCCTCTGACTCTTAGGTGCCGCTTGTCCTGCTATACCACATTTCCCCTCAGATGGGCCTAACTTCCTTTCCCTCCGTCCCCAGGGCTCAGTCTGCCTTGGTAGCTCAGCTGAGAGTCTCTAGAAATGGGCCTTCCCTTCTCCAAACCCCACGCCCAACTACTGTGCCAACTGGTCTTTTCCCATTTTCTACCCAGGAAAGTCTAAGCCTCAATTCCTTCACCCCAGGCCAAGCCTCAAGGTTATATAGGCCCTATTCCCTAGGACCTGGCCTGTGACTTAAGTCTGGTCTTGCCACACCTCGCCTACCTTCCCATCTCTTCTACTTGTCTTTTTTTTTTTTTTAATTGATGTCTAGACTTGTGATTCTATTGGTGTTAGCAAATCTCCCAGTGAGGAAATTTCATTTACCAGTGGTGATCCTGCTCCTTCTTTGCCTTTGGCAGTAGCCTGGCGACACCATGAGAGGAGTAAGTGACTCGCCCAGGGTAACAGCCAACATGTCTCAGACATCAGACTTAAAGGATCAGAGATCAGAAGATAAGAGCTCTACCAGTCTGAGGACTGGCAGAGGCCATCTAGTTAGACTAAGGGCCAGTAAGAGGCAGCTAGGTAGTATAATGGATAAAACTCAGGGCCTGGAGTCAAGAAGATCTGAATTCAAATTCAGCCTCAGACACTCACTAGCTGTATGACCTTGGGCAAGTCACTTAACTTCCTTTTGCCTCAGTTTCCTCATCAGTAAAATGGGGATAATAATAGCACCTACCTCCCAGGGTTGTTTTGAGGATCAAATGAGATAATAATTATAAAATGCTTAGCACAGTTCCTGGCACATAGTAGGTGCTATATGAATGGTAGCTATTATTAAGGAAATTGGGCTGTGCTTTCATGGGTATAGGGGACTCCTAGGTAAGGAAACTCCCTCCCACCACATTGCCTCTTCCTGACTCTTCTAATAGGAGCCAAAAGAAGCAGGAAAGCAGCACTGGGTGGGCCAGCAGAGTCCCATTTCTGATGTTAATTACCCTATTTATTGGCAGTTCTGCAAAGTGGATAAATAACCAGTGCCTGGATGTCATTCCCTGTGACCGTGGGCAATATCACTTAGCTCTCTGGACCTCATTTTCCTCACCCGTAAATTGGGGGGCCGGGTTGGACTAGAAGGCTCCTAAGGACCCTTACAGCTTCAGAGCTAAGATCCCCTTTCTGGTCCATGCTGGCTGTGTGGTCCTGTGCCGGTCACTCAGCATCTCAGTGCTCTAGGCAGCCCTCTAAGCTGCTCGGCTGCAGAGAAGGGGGTGACCTGCGTAGTGAGAAGGGGAGATCAGAGGGCCAGTCCCCATCTCTATGCCTTCACTGGCCCCCCAGCCTGGTTTCTTTCAGGCCCCGGGCCTGTGGGCTGGTGCTTGTTTCCAGAGGCGGTGTTAGCATCCCCTCACCCCCTGAGGCTGGCTGGTCCTGAAGGTGGGAGAAGGCTGAGAGATGGAGTGAGTTTCTGGTGCTAGGTTAGTGGGTTTTTTTGTTTTTCTTGCTTACTCTCAGATCTCCAGGGTTCAGTTCTGTGGCCAGAGCTACCAGCAGTATGGTGGGTCTTGATGAAGAGGCTACAGGGTTTTGCAAAGAGCTTCTCTTCCTCAGGAAGAGAAAGAGGAGAGTAAGGCTGGAGATTGAGGGAAGGGCCCCTGCAGATCTCCAGTTGTAAGTAGTTTTCAAAAGATCTGGTCCCTTGCCTAGGGAGGACCTGGCCTGGAATCCATCCTTTGAGTTGGGAGTTCCAGAGGCTCTTCCCAGGCCAGCGAAGGCAGGCCTGTCAGTAAGCCCTAGGGGAACTGGGAGTATGGATGGGGGCAGGTTTGTCCTTTATACTTATATATACACTTATACTTTTATATATATGCATTTATACCTTTATATATATGCACATATATGTGTGTGTGTGTGTGTGTGTGTGTGTGTGTATATATATATATATATATATATACACACCATACATTCCACACCCCCTCGCCCTCCAGCTTCTTGGGAATGGGGAGCCATCACTGAGGTAGGCCAGAAGTAGGCGGGGGGGAGGGCATTGGCACAAGAGAGCGAAGGGCAGGCTTCCGACGTCCCTAGCATGCTCCCTTCTTCTCGTCCACAATGACAACACTGTTGTGTCCCGTTTGCTAGCCTTGGCTTCTGAGTTCTGCAACATGCTTGACTTTTGGTGCATGTGGATAAAGTGGCGGGTGTGCCGATCACCCTTCCCCTTCCCACCCACCCCCAGCCCTTGCCTGTCCTTCCCCTCTTCCAGCTTACAACCCCTGAGAGCAGAGATGCTATTCACACTAATTCTAGGCCAGACCAGACGCCTTTCGTTCGGAGTCCTGGGGCTGTGGGGTTCAACCAGCCCAACAGTTTTTGCCTCCAACTCTTCCTCATCCTTGGAGGAGGAAGCCAAATCTAGCAGAGAAAACTCCCTGACCCTGAGAGGGCCCTGAGACTCTAGTCCCTCCTGAGCTTGAGCTTTGTGTAGTGGGTTGATCCTGAAAATAGAATAAGACGGGATGTTTACTCCCTGGCTTGCTCAGCTCCTCCCTGGAGAATTAAGGTGAAGAGCATTTTTCCGTGAGCCTTTTGGTGGGTGGGACCCACTGCCTGGGCATGTTTTCTCCTCTTTGGTTTGGCACCCATCTTCGTCTCCTTCTGCAGTCCCCCCGATCCTCCCTGCTTCCTGCTGTCCCACTGGCTGGCTGGTGAGCCAGGGCTCTGCTCCTTCCTACCGCAGAGTGCATGAGCTGGACTCAGCCCTTCCTCACTCTCCCCCACGTCCACATTCCTCCCTCTTTTTGGGGTACAGCTTGCACCCTTCCAACCCCCACACCTGATCCAGAGCTACAGCTCATCCTCACCAAGTGTTCCCTTAGTTTGCCTCCGGATGGAGTTGAAGGGCCAGCTATTTGTGGAGATCCTGACTGCACAAAGGTCAGGAGCCCAGCCAGTGGGGCCAGGTGCTGGTGGGGCCAGGAGGCAGCTTTGCCATCTCAGCCCTTCCAAGCCTCTCCCGCCAAATGCGGAAAGCTCAGGCATCAGGGATTGAGCCATAATGTGCTCACTCTGTCCCTGTTGTCTACACAGCCTGAGTGACACATTAGATAACTGGGTAGTTAATAACCATAATGTTATTAATAATAACAACACTAGTTCACATTTCTATAGTCCTTGAAGGCTTGCCTTACAAAGCACCACACGTGTTGTCTCCTTGGATCTGCTCACCAACCCTGCACAGTTGGTGCTGTGATGTGATTATCCCCACTTTACAGATATGGAAACTGAGGCTGAGAAGGGTTCAGTGACTTGCCCAACATCCCATAGCCAATAAGTGCCTGTTTCTCTAATCCAGCCCAGCACTCTAGCCACCATGCTGTCTAGAATCAGAATTGATGGCACCATGGGAGTCAGCTAGTCCAACCCAGATTGACCAAGATTATCCCCTCTATGGCGTCCTTGACATGAGATGCTCCAGCCTTCACTTGAAGACTTCCAGAGATGGGGAGGACCCACTTTGTAGAGGCTAGGCAACTCACAGCCGCTGATGGGGCCATCTCTTCCAGCCAGGCCCCATCATACAAATTTTCTTCTCTCTTCCTCTCTCCTCTTCCCTTTTCTTCACCCTTCTTTGCATCATCTCCCCTCTTACTCCCTTTCTTCCCTTAGTATTGGATCTCTAAGTGGTGCCCCTTCCCTCCCCCCACTACCATCATGATCCCTGCTTAGCTTAGAAGGAAAGTCTTGAGGATGGATTGTATCCCAAGCACTGGTTCTGGAGGGGAGATATATCTGCCCAAGTTTGCTCTCTATCACTAATCAATCAATAAGCATTTACTAAGCACTTACTATGTGCCAAGCATATAATAAGTTCTGGGGATACAAAAAGAGGCCAAAGACAATCCCTGCCCTCAAAGAGCTTACAATCGAAGAGGAAAGACAATACACAAATAACTATTTACAAAGCAAGCTAAATACAGGATAAATAAGAAATAATGAACACAGGCAAGGCACTGGAATTAAGAGGGGTTAAGGAAGGCTTCCTGTAGGCAGTAGGATTTTATCTGGGACTTAAAGGAAGCCGGGGAGGTCAGTTATCAGAGCAAAGGAGGGAGAGCATTCCAGGCATGGGGGACATCCATAGAAAATGCCCAGAGTTGAGAGATGGAGGGCCTTGTTCATGGAACAGCCAGGAGGCCAGGTCACTGGAATGAAGAATACATGTGGGGAGTAAGATGTAAGAAGACTGCAATGGTGGGAGGGGGCTAAGTTATAAAGAGCTTTGAATGCTTAATGGGGCATTTTGCATTGGATTCCAGAGGCAATAGGGAGTTTATTGGCTGGGAAGGTGCCATGATGGTGGGACCTTTGCTTTAGGAAACTCATTTCAGTGGCTGGATGGAGAATGGACTGGAGTGGGGCCAGACTTAGGGCAGGCAGACCCACCAGCAGGCTAATGCACCAGGCACTTGGTGAGTAGCTATGTTGGGGCAGCATTAGGGCAGGCCCTTCTAGTGATCCCCAGAGGGCTTTGCCCATCTGGAGTCTTCCAGATAAAAGGGTCAATAAAACAGATAACAAGCATTAGTCAATGTTTGCTATATGCCAGGCACTGTGCTAATAGCTAAAGATACAAAATCAGAAATGATATAGTGCCTGCCCTCAGAAGGCTTACATTCTAATGAAGGAGACAACCTCTACTCATCTACAGAATATTTAGGAGGGGGGATAGGAACTGGACCTATGACTGGAACAGGGAATTCCCAGATGAGAAAACTTCAATCAATGCAGGATGGAACCCTCTCTGCAACTTCTAAAGGAGATGCCTGGAGCACCAAGAGGTGAAGAAGTGACTTGCCCAGGGTCACACAGTCCCCTCAGAGATGGGACTTGAACCCAGATCTTCCTGGCTCTAAGGCCAGCTCTTATCCACTAAACCTTGCTCGATGCCTACAAATATGACACGTATCCAAAGTGAATAGGACAGAGCTTTGGGAGGGAGGGCCATGGCTGCTGGAGGGATCAGGAGAGGCCAGCATTTATATAGCACCTACTGTTTGCCAGGCACTGTGCTAAGAGCTTTACAAATATTATCTCATTTGATCCTCACAGCAATCCTAGGAAGCAGGTGCTATTATTATCCTCATTTTACAGCTGAGGAAACTGAGGCAGAGGTTATGGGATTTGTCTGAAGTCACACAGCTAATCTGAAGTTGGCTATGAACTCTTCCTGAGTCCAGGCCCAGCGCTCTATCCGCCTAGGTGCCTCTGCCAACCAGACTATGGCCCAAGGGGAGCCCCCAAACTTGAGTAGAGAGTACTGACCTCTCCTTTTTGCTCTGGCTGAAGAGAACCAGCCCGATGACCTTGGAAATTCCTCCAAAAGAGACAAGGCCTTGGCTTCTGGGGCGAGGCTGGGGTTGGTGGAAAGAGCCTTCCTTCCTTCCTTCCTTTAGAGCAGGTTCTATTAGAGATCCCTTCATCATGGCAGGTAGCCACATGAGCTGCAAAGCCAATGACAGGCGAGGGTCAGGGAAAAGACCTCATCCCATTGATTGTCAGGAAAAGAAGAGCTCCCTGGTTTCCTCCTTTCTTCAGTTCTAGTCCAGGAGTTTTAATTTGAGATCAAACTTGTGATTTCATTCCCAATGAGGAAACTCCCTCTGCCAACACAGATGATCTCTCGATTTTTAGTCATTGAGAGTTGCCTGGGACCACAGAGAAATTAAGTGACTTGCCCAGGGTCACCTGGCAAGCTAATATGTCTCTGAGGCAAGACATGAACCCAGGAATTCCTGATTCAAAGGCTGGCTCTCTATTCACAGCTGCCTCCCATAGATTAAGAGGGATAAGCACATCCTTCAGAGGCCAGGCCACCAGGTGGTCTTTTTAGGGTCCCATGATTCCTTCTCTACTCCTCTACCCCCTAGAGAGTGAAACCCAAAGAGATAGGTGAATACTTTTCTGTGCTTTCCTCTCTCTCTCTGCCAGAGTATTTAATCCTATAAAAAGAGCACACGCAAACATGCAGTTTGCAAAATAGGAGAGCCTCTGTCTTTATCTTTCCTGCCTCTGGACTTCTAGGCAGAGACTCCCCCCCTCCCCTCCCCTGAGGCCTCCAGTCTTCTGCCAAGGGATGAATCTGAGCTGCAGCTCCAGGCAGCAAGGCCTGGCACAGCCTTATTAATATGGGCACCGCGGGAGGGATGCTGTGCCCACAGCCCTGACCATCACTCACTCCCTTGTCCTAGATGCCGGGGACATGATTGAGATGCAAGGCTTTGGGCCAAGCCCACCAGCCTGGCAGTTTGAACCTCCAATTGGTCACAGCTCCTGTCTCTCCTGTTCTATCAGAGGTTCACCCTATGACCCACCCAACTACTGCAACTGTGCGCAGGACAGGTGAGTGGGACCCCAACTAGGGGACAGCCTGGACCCCAGGTGGGAGACTGAGAAAAACATGGGCATATTGGGGAGGGGGGAGTAGGTGGGGAATTAAGGAACTTCTAATCCTCACCTAGATGTCCTTCCGTCTGTGTGCGTCCTTAAATGGCTATCTGTGAATTTGTGTGTGCCTCGGAGCAGCTGAGGTTATGTGCCCATTTCTGTCTCATTGTCTTTGTGCTTCTCTCAATGTGACCAGTCAGTGAATGTGTGATGAGCACCTACTATGTGCAAAGCATGAGGTAAGACATACCTGGCATTGTGCTTCTCACAGGCTTTTTGAAAGCTTGCACCGGGCACATAGGAAGTTAATAAACATTTGTGGAATTGAATTGTTTCTCTTTTTGAAATTTTGTAATCTCCATTATGACCTCAATGACATCAACAAAAACAAAATATTAAAAGCCATAACCACTAAAAATATTTATGATTTTTAAATGTGTATGTTAACTTTAACCAAATAACAGAAATGCATTATTTGCTTCCAAATCCTTTCTGATCACCTTTTCTCCTGTGGGTTTGTTTTTATTTTCAGTGCAACTTTATTTTTGTAATCTGAAAAGTATATAGAGTATAGTTATTAACTACAAACTAGCACAAGACTGCTTGCCAGGAATCTGTAAGTGGATATGGGTTGTCAGTTGGGTTTATTTGTTTTTGGAATACAAAATGTCAAAGTCACTTTTGGTAGGTAGGATTGGTTGTGGGTTTACACAATCACAGCATTGGAAGAGTTATCTAGTCTAATCAAATACTTGAACAAGATTTCCCTCTACAGTATCCCTGGCAAGGGGGTCATGGATAGTCTTTGCTTAAAGGGTTCCAATGAGGAGGAACTTTACTACCTTCTGAGGCAGTCCATTCTACTTTGGGGTAGCTCTAATTGTTAGGAAATTCTCTTGAGAGCTAAGCCAGTTTTACTCACCCAGGAACCAGATAGCTATCTGACATAAGATTAGAAATTCCTTGTAATTACTATTTAACTCAATATGGGAATCCTGTGCTCCTTAGGTAGTAAATTTCTAAGGACCATACCTCCCCACCCCCAAACTAAATAAAGCAAAACATGGCAGCTGTATTGTTTGAGATATTTGGGGGGGGGGATGAGGCAATTGGGGTTAATTGACATGCCCAAGGTCACACAACTAGTAAGTGGCAAGTGTCTGAGGTCAGATTTGAACTCAGGTCCTCCTGACTCAAAGGCCAGAGCTTTATCTACTATGCCACTTAGCTGCCCCTAGTGGCAGCTGTATTGGATACACCAGACATTCCATTTGGTCTCAAGATCCTTTTCAGAAGGCTACCCTAAAGAATTTAAACCCAAACCAAAGCTAAGAGAAGGAGGCAACATTCTCCCCTCTCCTAGCTCTCATTCTTATTTTTATTATTATAGCTGTCTGCAGAAAAAAAAAATGTTGGTTTTTGCCATCTGTTCTGGCCAAGTGAGAAGCAACATAAGGTAGTGGATAGAGAAATGGCCTCCCAGTCAGGACCACGCAGGTTTAAGCCCCATTTCTGGGACCACTGAGAAGTGTCTAAGCCTAGAAAATGAAGAGGTGGTGTCAGTTTGCATTGGGGAAGGAAGTTTCTTCTTTCTATCCACAGCCTTTCCAGGAACTCCTTGTTCTGCTGAAATCACAGATCCCATTTAAAAAATTAACTACATTGACGTCAAGCTTCAATTTGCCTTCACCACTTCTATCTGTTGCCCCTCTGGGATCAAGCTTCACAGTTCAATCCCTTTGTCTTGCAACAACCCTTCTAATATCTGAAGATGGTTATCCTCTTCCCTCTAAGTTTCTTCTTGTCCAAGTAAAAAATTTTTCATTCTTTATCATAGATTTAGAGCCAAAGAGACTTTTAGATCTATTTCTTTTACAAATAAGGAAACTGAGGGCCAGAGAAATTTTTTTTAAAAAACTTGCCCAAATTCAGGTAGGGAGTAAGTAGCAGAGACAAATCAAACCTGATTCCTCTGCCTCTAAATTCAACACTTTTTCCACTACGGAATTATTATACCCATTTTACAGGTGGAGAAACCAAGGCTTAAAAAGATGGTGACTTAAAAAAAATAAATAAATAAGAATAAAAAGATGGTGACTTGCTTGAGGTCACCAAGTGAGTTAGCCAGAGTTGTCAGGAGAATTCCTGAGCCCTGGCACAATCCTCTTTACCCCACTGCACCCCACCAGTGTCTCCATGTCTGTCTCCATGTTGACTTCCTTGTGGATGTGTCTGTGTGTGATTCCAGTCTACTCCTCTGTTTGTGTTTCCCTGTACCTCTGCTGCTAAATCTCCACTCGTATTCAGCCAGGAAACATTAGGGATGGCTGCCATACCCAGAAGGTACTGAGGTGGCATATTCCTGGGCATATTCATGGTGCTCTTGGCTAGATCTCTATAAATCTCAGACCTTTCTATGTTGATTCTTGGAGTTATTGGCCTGAATCCCATTGTGCTGTCTAGAGGCCCTGCTGGACCTCCCTCTGTCCCTGTAAGCACATCCTGAGCCCAAGTTCAAGGCCAAGAGCCCCAGAGGGAACAGTGTCTATAGTACAGGGCCCAGCATATAGTACATGCTTAATAAATCCTTATTAATTAATGACCCACTCATTGCCCAAGGGTGCCCTCCACTGGTGACCAGGCCAGGAGGATTAGATTGGGAAAGATGAATCATGGTTTCCTTGCCTGCCATTCATACTTCCAGTTCTGTTTATGAGGGACAGGTGAATGATCTCTGCCTCAGATATTGGGAAAGGACAGAACTATAAGAGCAGGAGGCAGACTCCCCCAGGTTCCAGAGAAATGGAAGTGAATACTGGGAGGTCCCTTCCCCCCACTGAGCACCAGGGGATTGAGACCACACTCCTGGAAGCTCTTAGAGCCAGCCCTCCCTCTCAGAGACTTAGCAAGGTGAGCAGCAGGAGCCTATATCTTGATTTCCTTGAATTGACCTTTCAGGGCTGAAAGGGACCTTAGAGATCTAGTTCCACCCCTCCCCTTTTACAGAGAAACTAACTGAGGCCCAGAGAAGTGACTGGCTCAAAGTCACCCAATAAGAAGGAGATGGAACAGGTGGGAGAGGCTGAGGGAAGTGTGCTGCCCAGGGTGACTGAGCAAGCCTGGACCCCGACCAGCCAGAGCTCAGGTGGTGCTCCCCACAGTTGCAGAGCCCAGGACTTGAACCCAGGCCTCCTGACTCCAAAGTCTAGTGTCCTCTCCATGACGCCACAGTCTCTCCCTGAGGTTTGCATGGGAGTTAGGAGGAGGGAGTTTTCCCAGCTGTAGCAGCTGGTCTCAGGGTGATGCCCTGCCTATTTCCACTGAGCGCGCGGCTCTCTTCTCCCCAGAATGCCCCTGAGATTGCTGTGTGAGAACATGAAGAGACAGATCATGTCCCGGGCCTTCTATGGATGTGAGTGAGATGGGAGGGGAGATGGGAGGGGAGAGGAGAGGGGAGGCTGCCCTGGGTAACACTCTCTGTCTCCCACTCCTCGGCTGTGGAGCCACCTCCTGGGAGCTGTCCATTTTAAATCACCTGCCTCCCCTCCCCCTCCCCACCAGGGCTGGCATACTGCCGACACCTGTCCACTGTCAGGACCCACCTGTCAGCCCTGGTACATCATAATATCATCCCACCTGACCGGCCCCCAGGAGCTTCAGGAGGGCTCACCAAGGATGTGTGGAGCAAGTACCAGAAAGATAAGAAGGTTTGGGAAGGGTTTTGAGTGGTGGAGGTGGGGGGAGACGAGGGGTTATTCGGGGGCAGTGCCCAGGAGATAGAGAACAGCTTGATCTGAGGAAGCTGCCCAGTCTGGGAGAATGGCCAAGATGGAATGGGGTCCTCTACAGGAAAGGGGGGAAGATGAAGTGTGAAGAATACTTCCAGATCACTTGACCATCAACTGGCCTTGGTCTATAATGATGCGGTAGAGAGAGGCTCCCCCCACCTCCAGCCCAATAGACCTCTGAAGGAGGCACTATAATTATTTTTAGCCCCATTCTACAGATTAGGAAACCGAGGCACACAGATGAATTGTCCAGTAACACAACTAGGACATTCAGGAACCAGGCTTTGAATGCCAATCTTCTGAGAAGTCTAGTGGTCTGACTGTGTTGCCTTTCCTGGGAGACATGGCCTCAACTCTGGTTGCAGCTCTGCCATTAACTCTCAGTGTGACCTTGGACAAGCTGTTTTCCTCCCCCTTGCCTGCAGTTTCTTCTTCTGTCAAATAAGAGATGATCTGAGGGTCCTTTCATCTCTCAGTCCTGTTAAAAGGATGTTTGTGCCATTGGTTAGGCCTTAGCTGTGCAGATGCTGGGGCCTCCTGGGCCCAGGTGGGTGAGGGTGTGTGAAGAAAGAGCCTGTCTTAGCTGGAGGGTGTCCAAAGAGTAACCTGGCTCGAGAATCAGAGTTCCCTCCACTCATGCTCTTACAACCCCACCCAGAGCTACCCTACCCTACCCTGGGCCCAAGGGGGAGTGAAGAGGGTCTGGCCATGAGGTAAAGAGAAGGATCCCCTCTGCCCTGCCCACTCACCAAGTAGATGCAACCGGCTGGTTGGGTTCCAGCCCGAGGGAGGAATCTGAGGCTCAGTGTACTTCCTCTCTTCCCACCTCATCCTCTCTCCTCTCCATTCCTCTCTATCTCCTTCCTCTCCCCTTTCTTCCTCTCCCATCCCCTCCTTTCTTCCCTCCCTTTTTTCTTGTCTTCCTCTCTCCTCCCTGTTTGCTGCTCTCCCCTTCTACTCTCCCCTCCCTCCCTTCCTTTCTTCTCCTTTCCTCCCCTCTCTCTCACACCTCCCTTCCTCTTCTCTCTTCTTTCCTTTTTTTCCTGCTTTCCTTTCTTCTCTTTTCTCCTTTCCTTTCCCTCTTTCTTCCCTTCCTCTCCCTTCGCTGACACTCAGAACTACAAGGAGCTGGAGCTTCTGAGGAGAGTGTACTATGGGGGTGTGGAACATGAGATCCGAAAGGACGTCTGGCCCTTCCTGCTTGGACACTACAAGTTTGGCATGAGCAAGAAGGAGATGGAGCAGGTGAAAGAACATGGCACCCAGGGCGATGAGGCAGGCAAGGCTCGGGGGTCACTCCCCTCAGGGGTCCCGGTTTCCCAGATGGTGTCACCCTCCCAGGAATAGCGGCCTCAGAACCCAGTCTGCCGAAGTAAAAGAAACAGAAGACTGGGGCTCAGCCCCAGGTCTGCTTCCATTTGGGTGACCTGGTGCTAGTTGTTCTCCAAGCTCTAAACCCTGTAATCCCTAAATAACCTTTAGTCAGATGATTCTTCTAGGCTGGGGCTGCCCTGGACTCCCAGACCTGGGAAGCTGATCATCCTGGGGGAGGTAGGGTTGGGTATAGGCCTGGTACCCAGGTAGGTGGGAGCAGCTGATTCCAGGTAAAGGGGCTCTGTGTCAGCCCCTTACCACCACACTGGGTATTCCCCAAGTCCAGGTGGATGACGCTGTGGCATCCCGATACCAGCGGGTACTGGCAGAGTGGAAGGCCTGTGAGGTGGTGGTCCGGCAGCGGGAGCGGGAAGCCCATCCAGCTACACTCACCAAGTTCTCCTCGGGAAGCAGCATCGACAGCCACGTCCAGCGCCTCATCCACCGGGACTCCACCATCAGCAATGATGTGAGTCCTGGGAGAGACAGGGAAAAAGGTGGGCGGGGCCAGGGGGCTGGAGGATGGGGAGGACTGGGCCAGGGGCCCTGGTGGGAGCTTGTGCCGACTCCACTCTATACCTCTAGGAGAGGCCTAGCTTCCCATTCCTGGTCTTTAGACCGCGGTAATGATAAGGGTGATCAGGCAGTTTTTCTGCACTCAGTGTGCTAAGTGCCAGAGATGCAAAGACAAGAAAGCAAGACTGTCACTGCCCTCAGAGATCTTCCATTCTAATGGGGAAAGATCTTCTCCACAGAATGGAGAAGCTAGGGAAGGGTACCTGTGAGGTGAAATAGTTTGGAAACGGCTAAGAAATGACTTAGAAGTCTGGTTCTGGTCAACATGAGGGAACAGCTCACTTATCAAACTTCTTTTTTTAAAAATAGTTTAAGTATTTTTCCCAATTACATGTAAAAACAATTTTTAATGTTCATTTTTTAAAATTTTGAGTCCCAAATTCTCTCCCTCCCACCCTCCCCTTCCTGCTCATTGAGAAGGCAAGCAATTTGACATATGGGGCAGTCCTGCAAAACCTATTTCCGTATTAGTTATGTTATAAAAGAAAACACAGACCCCCCCCCCCAAACCCACCCCCAAAAAAAAAAAAAAAAGTAAAAAAAAAAGGTAGACTTCAATCTGCATTCAGACTCCATGAGTTCTCTCTCTGGAGGTGGATAACATTTTTCATCATTAGTCCTTCAGAATTGTCTTGGATCATTTTATTGCTGAGAATAGCTAAGTCATCCAGAGTTGATCATTCTACAATATTACTGTTACTGTGTACAGTGTTCTGGTTCTGCTTACTTCACTCTGCATCAGTTCACATCAGTCTTTGCAGTTTTTCTGAAGGCATCCTGCTTATCATTTCTTGTAGCACAATAGTCTTCTATCACAATCATATACCACAGCTTGTTCAGCCATTCCCCAATTTATGGGCATCCCCTCAATTTCCAATTCTTTGCCACTATAAATATTTGGGTACATGTAGGTCTTTTTCCTTTTTTTAAAATCTCTTTGGGTCACAGACCTAGTGGTGGTATTGCTGAGTCAAAGGGCGTGAATGGTTTTATTGCCCTTTCGGCATAGTTCCAAATTGTTCTTCAGAATGGTTGGATCAGCACCCAACTCCAGCAATAGTGTATTAGTGTCCCAGTTTTCCCACATCCCCTCCAACATTTGTCATTTTTCTTTTCTGTCATATTAGCCAATCTGATAGGTGTGAAGTGGTCCCACAATGTTGTTTTAATTTGCATGTCTTTAATCTATAGTGATTTAGAGCATTTTTTTTCATGTGACTATGGATAGCTTTGATTTCTTCTTCCAAAAACAGCCTGCTCATATCCTTTGACCATTCATCAATTGGAGAATGACTTGAGTTCTTATAAAACTTATACAATTCTCTAAACATTTGAAAAATGAAGCCCTTATCAGAGAAATTTGCTTTAAAAATTATTTCACATTTATGATTCCTGTGTATTTCCCTCCATACTATTTTCCTCCTGTTTATTCTTTTCTCTCTCTCTCTCCTTTCATCCTGTCGCTCCTCAAAATTGTTTTGCTTCTGACCACTGACTCCCTTCCAATCTGCCCAGCCTTCTGTCAGCACCACCCCTTTTCTTATCCCCCTCTTCTTCTATTTCCCTGTAAGGTAAGATAGATTTTTATACCCAACTGAGTGTGTATGTAATTCCCTCTTTGAGACAATTCTGATGAGAGTAAGGTTTAAGCATTGCCCACCACTCTCCCATCTTTGCCTCCACTGTAAAAGGTCTTCCATGCCTCTTTTATGTGAGATAATTTACCCTTCTACCTCTCTCTTGCCCTTTCTCCCAGTGCATCCCTTTTTCTTACCCCTTAACTTTATTTTTTTAGATATCATCCCATCATAGTCAACTTACACTCATGACTTCTATGTAGAATCCTTCTAACTGCCCTAATACTGTTAAAGTTCATAGAGTTACAAGTATCATCTTCCCACGTAGAAATGTAAACAGTTTAACCTTATTGAATCCTTTATGATTTCTCTTTCCTGTTTACCTTTTTCTGCTTCCATTGAGTCTTATATTTGAAAGTCAGATTTTCTATTCAGCTCTGGTCTTCCCATCAGGAATGCTTGAAAGTCCTCTATTTCATGGATAGAGCACTGGCCCTGAAGTCAGGAGGACCTGAGTTCAAATCTGGCCTCAGACCAAACACCTGACACGTACTAGCTGCGTGACCTTGGGCAAGTCACTTAACTCCAATTGCCTCACTAAAAAAAAAAAAAGTCCTCTATTTCATTAAATATCCATTTTGGGGGGCAGGGCAATCAGGGTTAAGCAACTTGCCTAGGGTCACACAGCTAGGAAGTATCTGAGGCTAAATTTGAACTCTGGTCCTCCTGACTATAGAACCAGTGCTCTATCCACTGTACCACCTAGCTGCCCCTAAATACCCATTTTTCCCCAGATTTTATAGTTGTCCTTACAACATCATAGAGGTTAGGGATGCGGCATCCTCTCGATCTGGAAAATCCGCATAAAATTTTTTGGCCCTCCCTTTGTAGGGAGAAGAAGTCCAAATTTTTTCTTTTTCTTTTATAGGGTGTTTATGGTACTTATTATAAAATTTCAGTTAAGTATTTGGTCATAGGTTCTGTGTTGTCTGCTGGCCTTCACATGTTGTCTATGGCTTCCGCAAAACTCCCAAAGAATTACCATTTAATTTCTCATGTGATACATCAAAACCATGATAAAGAAAGTCGTGATGGGGCAGCTAGGTGGCACAGTGGATAGAGCACTGGCCCTGGAGTCAGGAGGACCTGAGTTCAAATCCGGCCTCAGACCAAACACTTGACACTTACTAGTTGTGTGACCCTAGGCAAGTCACTTAACCCCAATTGCCTTACAAAAAAAGAAAGAAAGAAAGAAAGAAAGAAAATCATGATGTAGAAGGGATAACCATACTCTGTTTTGCTGGGCAGGTGATTTTTGATTGTAGTCCTAGCTCCTTTGCCCTCTGGAATATCATATTCCAAGCTCTCTGATCCTTTAATGTAGAAGCTGCTAGATCCTGTGTAATCCTCACCATGGCTCCATAGTATTTGAATTTTTCTTTCTGGATGCTTGCAATATTTTCTCAACCTGGGAGCTCTGAAATTTGTCTGTAATATTCCTGGGAGTTTTCATTTTGGGCTCTCTTTTAAGAGATGTTTGGTGGATTCATTCTATTCATTTCTGTTACCCTCTGGTTCTAGGATATTAGGGCAGTTTTCCTTAATAATGTTTTGAAAGATGGTATCAGGCTCTTTTTTTTTTTTGATCATAGCTTTCAGGAAATCCAATAATTATCTCTCCTTTATCTATTTTCCAGGTCAGTTGTTTTTCCAATGAGATATTTCACATTTTCTCCTACTTTTTCATTCTTTTGATTTTGTTTGATTGTTTCTTGTTCTGTCATGGAGTTATTAGCTTTCACTTGCCCAATTCTAATTTTAAGGAATTATTTTCTCCAGTGAATCTTTGTACCTTCTTCTCCATTTGACCAGTTCTACTTTTGAAGAAGTTGTTTTCTTCAGTGGATTTTTGTATACTTTTCCCCTTTTTTTGTGCTTCCTTTACCAAGCTGTTGACTCTTTTTCCATGATTTTCTTACAGCATTCTCATTTTCCCCTCAACTTTTCCTCTACCTCTTTTATTTGATTTTCAAAATCCTTTTTGAGCTCTTCCAGAAATTCTTTTTGGTCCTGAGACTAATTCACATTTGTCTTTGAGACTTTGGATGTAGCTGTTTTGACTTTGTCATCTTCTGAGTTTGTATTTTGGCCTTCCCTCTCACCACAGTAACTTTCTATGGTCAGGTTCTTTTTTACTGTTTGCTCATTTCCCCTCACCTTTTATTTTTATTTTTTACTTTCAACTTTATGTTAAAGTTGGGCTCTGCTCCCATGATGGAGAGGGTACTGTCCCAAACTTCAGGGGTTTGTGCTGCTGTTCTCAGATCTAGTTTTGGGGGTCTGTAAGTTTTAAGTTCTTCCAAGGTGGTATGATCTAAGGAGAGGTGCAGTCACTGGTCTTTTGGCCCACGTTCTGGTCTGTGAACAACCACAAGCATTCTTTTCCATAGTTCCATAGTTCCTTGAAGCTGTGACCAAGGTTCCCACTCCTGTGAGCCCCAAACTCTACTGTGCTAGTGCTCGTCTTGCCGTAAGGCTGCAACCCAGAACCACAAGTGGGCAGTGCAACAGAGTTCCATCTGCAATACTAGCAAAGGTCCCCTGTAATCTCCTTCTGACCACTTGTCTAACCCCCTTACTGTTGGTGGGCCGAGAGCTCCAGAAGCCACTGTTGCTGATTCCGTTGCCCTCATGGCCTGCTGCTGGCTTGCCTAGGCACTGCCTGTGTTAGATCGCGCTTCACTCTCACCCCAGTGAGACAGATCTTTCCTGCCGAACCTTTAAATTGTCTTCGCCTAGAAAATCGTTTCACCCCATCCTTTGGTTGATTCTGTTACTCCAGAATTCATTTTTAGGTGTTATTTTAAGTTTAGTTGGAGGGGAATTTGGGAGAATTCAGTAGACTGCTTGCCTTTATTCCACCATCTTGGCTCCACCCTCCTCACTTATCAGAACTTCTGACTTCTCTTCAGGAAATTCATTGTTAACCTCTTCAGAGGTTCAGCCTAGTGGTATGATGATATGGAGGGAGTGTTGGACTTAGTTCAAATCCCTCCTAAGACACTGACTAGCTAATGACCCTGTTCAAGTCACTTAACAATTATATTAGCTTCAGTTCTCTCGTCTGTAAAGTGAGGATTACTCCTCTCCCAGGGTTGTGAGGATTGAATGGAATCATATAAGTAAAGAACTTTAGAAATTCATATTTTTGAGCAATATATTGGAGATCTAAAGCAAAGTGCTTTGAGAAGTTTGGGTGGGGGGAGCATCATTAAGGAAAGCTTCCTGGGACAGGGGATATTTGGGCTGGGTTTTG